ATTAAAGTTTTTCTTCATTACCCATTTAAGCCGTCTCCAGCCATTAATAGTTCACATATATCTTAAAATCCATGGTTATTGGATAAGCACTACACAACTGAACCAGCTGGGCATGCTGACCACTAGGCCATGACTGGTCTTAAACAAGCAAAAGCTTCAATGAATGAAGTATTATTTTAAATCCTTTTAAAAAATAGTTTTTAAAGATACAAGGTTTTTAGTGTAATTTCTATTTATTTTCTAAAGATGATGATATTATAATTTTAATGAGTGTGAGTTGTTTGTCTTTTAAGAAAATCTTCTCACTAAAGCACAGTCTGAATTACATGTATTGGATGAAGTGAAAAAAATAGTGGAAATCAGGTTGAAAGAAGAACTTCAAAATTTGGAAAAAATAAGAAGCATGTCGAAATCAGAAATAGAGTTAAAGGTTAAATTAGCTGAAGCTGAAAAAGAGGTATGTTTGTGTTGAGAAGGAGTATTTTCTCATTAATACTTAAACTTTAGTAAATGTCTAGAAACTTGCACAGTTTTAATCTTAATTTCTTTATTTTATTGTTTACATTCTGAAATTACTTGTTTTACAGCAAAATAAAAATCACATCCTAGTGTATGATTCTGATTTATTTTCAATAACAATTTGAACCCTTAAAAATATTTACATACATGAGCAAAAATTGTTTAATTATGTGTTGTTAAAACGTATAAATTTGTGACTGAAATAGCACCAAAATGAAGAAAAAATTAACATATAGGAAACTACTCAATTTTAGTTATTATTATTTGTTACTATGCTTAAGTTATTAATTGTAAGTAAAACCCATAATCTAATGGCTTGAATAAAAATTACCTATTTAACATGAATTTAAGTTCAGCTGAATATAACATATGAGTGCATGTAAATAAAATTTAAATCGTAAATACAGCACTACGTATTATATTTGTGTATGTATAAAAAATGTATATTTTATGCACAAGCATTGAAATAATTTATAACTGTAGTCTATAATAAAGTATTTATGTTTTATGAAAAAAAAACAGCAGATAGATGAAATAAGCTTAGAATTGTTGATGTTAGTAGGTGTTAAATTATGTATATTTTCTCTAAGATTTAAAATTATAGTGCAAATTGTGATTGTGACAAGTCAAAACATGTATTTAAAAGCTGTTTGTTCTTCTCGTTACTGGTGTTTTTCTCTGTAAAACCAGGTAAGATATGTTGTTAATCATCCAATCTTATCTGAGTAAACAACTCATAAGTGTAATACTTATTCGATTTCAAATTCGATACGGTACTGTGTAATACTGTACTTTTCAGTGAAAAATAAATTAGATATTCTATAAACATAAAATTTATAGTAGCTTATTGAATCTTTATTTTATCCTAGAGGTTACTGTTTGTAATTCTGTTTTATTTAGTGCACAAAAATCAGAGGAGGAAGTTTCTATTGTGTGTTTCATCATACTTTAGTAAACATAAAAATCACAGAATTTTTAAACTGGTTTTTATAATGCTATTTCATACTTTTTATTATGATTTAGTGTACTATCACACTTCACATTTTGTAGTATATTCCTATGTAGTCCTTGCTTGGAAGGGTAGAATATTAAATTTTATTTCTTTCATTAAGTTTTTAAATAAAAATTGAATGTATGTACAATAATATGAAAATCACGGTGTCTGTGAAATGTGCAGTGGTTTTTATAGCTGATAAGTTTCTCTGTTTGCTGTAAATGATTAACTGTTGTGTTTTAAACAAAGCTATTCTTTTAAATGAAAATGAAGTTAATTTTATATTATATTATTAGGTCAATCTTCACTATGGTGGATGACCAATTAATACCAATATATAACTTGTTCTTTAGGTCATGTTTCTAAGATTTATTAGTTTTTAATGCCTACTATGACTGTTTCTTCCAAATCAAATCTAAACTATTTCAAAAGCCACTCAAACTGGTAAAGAAGATTACAAAATGATAAGATTAAATTGAGTGCTTAAACTGTTACTGTTTTAATTTATTTTTATGTTTCACTGTCAGTGGACGTTAACATGATTACATCCATTTTTGAAACATTTTGTCTAATCCAAGTATGATTTTTACACATGAAGAGCCTAATTAATTTTAACAAAACACATACTGAGGAAGACATTGGGACTTTTTTAAGTGAATGAAAATTTTTCTTTTCTGTGGTTGAATAATAGTTGAATATGAACTTCTCAAATAGGGATGTTTAATTGTTTTGATATTTGTTTCATGACCAAATTGTAATAAATGTTTCTTATGTATGTATTATCTGTTGAATAATTTTATTTAAAACAAATACTTTGAGTATGATCTTGCCATAAAGTTATATATTTTGTTTTGAATTGAAATTATTTTGTTATAGCTATTTAAATGCAAAGAGAACCAGGAAAAGCTGGAAGAGAAGGTTGAGGGGAGAGTAGGTGTTTTGAACTATGGTCTGTTTCTTTCAGGGTGTGATCCCACAGATGATCAACTGAAAAAAAAATTGAAAGAGGTCAGTGGTTTCCCAGTTTGTGGTCATTTAGTGTGAGGAAATTCTGTGTTATAGTTATTTGATTTTAATAATATATTTCAATTAATTTTTTTTGGACTGAAAAGCCTTCATTTTTATATTTTGTTATTGCAGAAATGCCACAGTGATTTGATTGTGTTTGGTACAATGTCAATTAAAGAAAAATAATTATTGTTTTTATCATATGGCTTAAATTAGTGTTAATTAGTTTTCCAAAACGCTTTTCCTTGATTTGTGAATTTTGTTACTGCAAAACTGCCCCAGTGATTTGATTGTGTTTGGTACAAATTAAATTAATAAAAAATAATTATTGTTTTTATAATATGGTTTAAATTAGTGTTAACTAGTTTACCAAAACATATGTACCTCTGCTCACACTACAGCTATTATTCAACTGCCAGGGTTTCTTTCTCTGCCCATCTAAGCATTGGTCTGATTTTTTCTCATTTGCTCCAGTCTTTTATACCCCCACTTAATTACCCTTGGTGATATTTGTCTTATGGCACTCTCCACCTGCATCATTGCACCCTCTGTCTATCTTGGTACTGTATATAAGCACCTCATTCAGATAATGTTATCACTTTTCTCAAAAAAGCATCAGTAACAGTTTTCTCAGTGCTACAATTGGTAAGAGATACTTTGACATTATTTGTGTTACCTACTTGATTTTTGTAAAAAATAATAACTTGTTTTACTGCCATGCTGATTTATGGTATGAATTTCCAGATTATTAATTCTGAATCAAGGGGGGGGGGGTCACTCTCGGTTTAAATTTTCAGTGATCTCATTCGTAGTACAGATAAAATTCTTTACACTATAAGAAATTTTTGAACATACATTTGACTTGTTTTGAATATATTATATATATATAAGAATCCCACCCACACATATCCATAAAACTCTGACATTTGGAGAGCCAGCTAGGATTATACAGTGGTAAATGGCAGTAGAAGTAGATGGGAATAACAGCATAAGTAGGCCTATATATACACAACTGTAGTGGTAGCAAAAATAGTGTAGAGAATACAGATTTTCATAACTGAATTGAAAGATGTGAGCATCTTGGATTAAAAGATAGTGATCTCTGAGAGTTTGTTAAACAAGAAATAGAGAGAGAGAGAATAGCATAGACAGAGAAGAGAGGAAGAAAGCTAAAAGAAGAAAAGGAGAGAAAAGAAAATGAGAAAAAGGCGAGACTGGAAATAGAGAGAATGAGAATACAAATTGAGAAAGAAGAAAAAGAGAAGAGGAGAGACTGGAAATAGAGAGAATAAGAACACAAATTGAGATAGCCAAGCTCACCCAACAGAAAAAGAAGAAGGACCCAAGAATGACAATGGAGTCATTTCAGCCGACTCAAGCTGCCAAAATTTGCTGAACAGAAAGATGACATGGATGTTTTCCTGGAGAGATATGAAAGATTTGCCCAAAGTCAGAACTGTGATTTAGGCGACTGGTCAGTTTGTCTCTTGAATTACTATACCATGCTGAACCTCCACTCATGGACTATCATGAGTAAATCATATAGGGATCCAGTCTGCCACTGCTGATCATTGGATTGAATAAATTGGGGTCGGTCTGCTTCTCAAAATTTAGGGAACATGTTTCACCTATTTCACTGTTTCTGAGGGCACCCCATTGCACATTACCCCCCAAATCCTACTGGGGTGGTGGACGAGGCTTTTCCTTCAGAGTGACTTTCCTCCACTTCTGAAGAGGGCAATGTTGGAGGCCCTCCTACCCAGGTCCCTGGATGTTTTTTCCCAGATGATGATAGGAGAAGCACCACCCTATGGGGAAGCCTACTTATATTACCGGTTCAGATTTGATGCTCAGCTATTTGATTGGGTTGAGTGTGGCCCTTCTTTTTGATGAATATTGGTTCAGTACATTGTTCGTGGAAGAGGGTCCATTGTCTCCTCATAATTCCAAATGCAGAGTGGTCCTATCCTGGGTTCTTAGTTGAACACAGTTTGTTCCACATCCACCTCATAATTCTGAGGGCAAGTGGAATTTACCTAGCCCACATGGTTGGGGAGTCAGGATGAGTGTTCATAATTCCAGACTGGATAAGTTCTGTTTCCTCACTTTGAATATGGCATACAGGATCTTGTGATTTTGAGTTTTGGGTGTTGCCTTTTGGACTGCTTCAGGTTGAGGAGAGGGTTTGCCCACTTTGGTGTTGCTTACCTTCTTCTCATGATTCCGGTGGCCCAGAACCCATCACTCTATAGCTACAGTTGGGATCTACTCACAAATATGTATATGTATATATATATTGTGGTCCAAATGACCAAGCCACCAATGTGAGATTTAGTAATCACAGCTTTATAATTTCAACTCCAAACAGTGGGGCCTCAGCTATCTGGTTGGAGCCTGGCCAGTAGTGTTGATAAAGTTCCACCCACAGTACCAGAATTAAGTCCCAGGTGAAGAGCATAACTGTTCTGGATGTAGTGCAGTTCCCTCACTAGGGTGCCAATCTTCTGTTGATACACCCACAATCTATGCAGACACTTTCTGTATGGATAATTGCTCTCACTGGCCCCTCCACCTTCTTAATGTGGGATTCTAGCTGTAGTTTGAGCAGCGGCACATATGTTTTGGAAGTTAACATTTTCTTAAATGGAAAATGTATTTCCAATAAGACTTACCTTCTTTCACACTCTCCTGCTCTTCCTCCCCACAAAGAGCCGGTATTACAGACCATGGATTGAGTCAGTCTCGAACAGTGATAACATTATCTGAATGAGATGCTTATATACAGTATCAGGACAGTGGGTGCAGTAACATAGGTGGAGAGTGTCACGAGACAAATATCACCAAGGGCAATTAAGTGAGGTATAAAAAACTGGAGCAAGGGATAAAAAAATCAGACTAATGCTTAGATGAGCAAAGGAAGAAAACCTAGCAGTCAAGTAACAGCTGTAGTGTGAGAGGAGGTAAGTGTTATTGGAAATACATTTTTGATTTAAGAAAATGTTAACTTTTATAAAAAAAACTTTCACTTGTGTATTTTGTTATTGTAGAGCTACAACAGGGATTGAATTATGTTTGGAGTAGTGTCAAGCTGATAAAAAACATAATCAATGTATCGTTTGATTAATATGTTTTAAATTGATTGTTTTTACAAAGAAACTTTACTTGCATATTTTATAATTGTAGAACTGCAACAGTGGTTGAATTATGTTTTGAACAGTGTCAAACCAATAGGAAAAATAATGTATTTGGTGTATGTGTTTGCATAAATCTTTCTATCTCTCTCTCTATCTATTTATATACATGCAAAATAGAAACCCCTACATAGTATTCTTGTCTCATGTATTATACTCCTTTTAGAATATTCTTCAGTAGTTTGTCTTCAAGTGACAGGCTTGTATAAGGCTTGATAAAGAGCTCTTCCTCAAAATGTTACTAAGAAAATAAAACTAAAGATTTTTTATCTCCAATAGCCATTTTTCTATATAGTGACCGCTTTCCTGATTTTAAATAATAACGATAAGAATAATAATAAGTGTGATTTCTTCTTTACATATTTGGTAAATGTTATGTTGATATGCTGTTTCAGTTAATCCTGTTTGAAGCTTTTCAGTAATTAATATTTTAATACATCATTTATATACTAATATGTAATGATTCTGTAGATGTAAATTAAATCTTCAAAAGTTTGACTTTCTATAGGGAAATTCTAAACTAAGTTACCTCAAGTTCTGCAGCTTTTCTCTAGGTGGAGAAACAACTTTATTGGAAAGAAACAGAACTGGTAGAAAAAGAAGTGGTCTTGGCCCAAGTATCGAGGCTGACTGAATGCTTGAGACAGACACTAGAAAATAAGGCACAACCAGCAACACAAGCACAAAAGAAAGTGGTAATTAAAATACCAGTAATACTCAGGAGAATAGCTAGTACTAGTTTATAATATCTAAAAAAAGGTGGTTTAGGGACAGTATTATTATTTTGGATTAAGCATGTTTATATGAGACTATATATATGTATATATCTGTGTGTGTGTGTATAATGATGAAAACTGTATTTTCTTTTGATGGAGTTTCTGGTTATAAGCCCAAAAAGTAATTTTTTTATGGTAAGTCACAGTGAGTCCTTAAGTTTAATAGAAAATATATAGTATTATTTTTATATGTTAGACATATAGAGTTGAAATAATATCAGACAGGTTGTATTTATGTGGGTAATCTACATTATCCATGTTAAATGGTTTTATAGAAGATTCTAGTATGTTGAACAATATTTTTATTTTATTTAGTTCTTTAGATTTGTTTGATAATGGGCAAAGAAAAACTCATTTGAAAGTGGAATTAAATTTTTTCTTGAAATATATATTGATTTTTTATTTGTATCATACATGAAATTTCTGGGAATCATCCTGTATATATATACATATATATATATTTCCGCACACACATATGTATCTTACTTGGGTAAATTAAACAATTAAACTGTGTAAGTGTTGGATTTATCAAAACTATATTTGATTCATTTTCTAAAACATACCAGTAAAACGATAGTAAATAAAATAAATGTTACTATAAAATACTAACCTTAAACTATTTTCTAACTACTGATAAAACTTTAAAATTGTGATCATGAATATATATATATCTTCTGGTTCTGCAGTTTTAGTAGTCGTACAGATGCATTTCTGTATACTGCTAGCCTTGCAGTCATATTTTCCTATGATGGCAGTCCATAATGTGTAATGTAATTATGTTAGTCCATCAAATGTTTCATATATTACAAGCCTTGCAGTTATACCAAGTGTTTCAGGTATTACTAGCCTTGCATTTGTACCATGTGTTTCATATATTACAAGCCTTGCAGTTATACCAAGTGTTTCATGTATTACTAGCCTTGCAGTTGTACCAAATGTTTCATGTATTACTAGCCTTGCAGTTATACCAAGTGTTTCAGGTATTACTAGCCTTGCATTTGTACCATGTGTTTCATATATTACAAGCCTTGCAGTTATACCAAGTGTTTCATATATTACTAGCCTTGCAGTTGTACCAAGTGTTTCATATGTTACAAGCCTTATAGTTATACCAAGTGTTTCATGTATTACTAGCCTTGCAGTTATACCAAGTGTTTCATATATTACAAGCCTTGCAGTTATACCAAGTGTTTCATATATTACAAGCCTTGCAGTTATACCAAGTGTTTCATGTATTACTAGCCTTGCAGTTATACCAAGTGTTTCATGTATTACTAGCCTTGCAGTTGTACCTGCAAGGCTAGTAATATATGAAACACTTGATACAACTGCAAGGCTAGTAATATATGAAACACTTGGTACAACTGCAAGGCTAGTAATATATGAAACACTTGGTGCAAGTGCAAGGCTAGTAATATATGAAACATTTGGTACAACTGCAAGGCTAGCAATAGATAAAACATTTGTTGTACCAAGTGTTTCATATATTACTAGCCTTGCAGTTATACCAAGTGTTTCATGTATTACTAGCCTTGCAGTTGTACCAAGTGTTTCATATATTACAAGCCTTGCAGTTGTACCAAGTGTTTCATGTATTTAATTGCCTTGCAATTGTACCAAGTGTTTCATGCATTTACTTGCTTAGGTTACAGTGATATTTTCGTATAATGTTAGTTAATTTTGTCTCATAGCCATTTACTAACAAATACGTTGGGTGACTTTATAATACTTTCCGATAATTACATATTGATAAATAACTTGGAAACTTTTATACTACTGTCCCATAGTTACACACTGAGAAATAATTTGGATTTATTTATACTGAATTTTTTACAATTACATACTGAAATGTTATTTGAGTATCTTTATACTAATGTTCCATATCCACATAGAGATTGGAAAGTGATAAAATTTATCTGAATTATCACAGTGTTGTTGAATAAAATTAGATTCAATCAAAGTTTTTTGTGCATCTTACTTCAAGCATCATTGTGGATATTATAGCTTTTAATATATTTTCTTCTATAACATTTCAGGATAATTTTCAGAAAAACAGAAAGAAAGGCTTAGAGAGAAAGATTGAAACATTAGATGTAGAAATAGCATTGTATAAAAAGCACTCTGAGAAACTCAAAGAACAGGTTCAAGAAATGAAAGATAAATTACAAACTTGCTACAAAAATCTGAAGGCTGGTCTTCCTCCATCAGAAGAATTTGAACAGGAATGGACACAAATGACAAAAAACTTCAGATCTACTTTTAGTAATGAAACTGAGGTGAGGCAATTATTATTTATAATACCCTTTAACCAACATGTGAACTTATTTTGTGTCTGTAACTCTGATATTATTGTAATATGGTGGGTTAGAATGAAATCCACCATGCATATATAATAAGTATGATGTTTGATGTACTGTCAAGTGAATCCTGAAACTGATTGATTGTTTTATTGCTTATAGTGCTGGAATGTTGGTTAAATCCATATTTGATACCATTTCCTTGTGAATGGCTTAAATTTTGAATTTATAAATTTGTAAAGTACAAGAAAGTAATAATGTTAGTATGGGTACTGTAGAATAAACTGTGAAGCATATGTATGGAATATTTTGTCTACATGTACGAGGAACCATGGGATGTGCATTCTACTGATTTCTGAAAATATCATTTCATGTGGTTGTATGCATACTAGGCTGATAAATAAACATGCTATAAAAAAGCCAGCTACTATTCTATTGCTAGCATTGAAAGACACAATACAGTGTTAAGTTTGAAATGTTGGATAATACTGGTAGATCTACACCAATCAAATGGTTGTAATATTGATTCAACACTGAGTAAATCAAATGTCTGTAATGTTGATTCAACACTGAGTAAATCATATGTCTGTAATATTGATTCAACACTGAGTAAATCATATGTCTGTAATATTGATTCAGCACTGACCATATCAAATGTCTGTAATATTGATTCAACACTGAGTAAATCAAATGGTTGTAATAGTGATTCAACACTGAGTATATCAAATGGTTGTAATATTGATTCAATGCTCAGTATATCAAGTGGTTGTAATATTGATTTAATACTGAACATATAAATATCTGTGATATAACAATATATTATTGTATTATTGATTCAACACTGAACATGGTGCCATCAGGGTGAACACAAGCTGTGGTCCATGCACAACTGCTACTGTCAGCATACCGATTGAAAAGTTCTGAGAAACTGGAGATATGCTGAGCTGATAATCAGTGGTCAGTGTTATGGAGATGCTTCTGGTTATACGGCTTACTGAAAATGTGTCTGCCATAATAACCCAGCAACATTCCTTAATCGAAGGATGCCTTTGTGGCAGAGTTTTGGACGATCTATGGGGAAAAGTTACATTGTATTATATTCTTACGTGTATCTCTGTTTGAACCTGTGATACACTACAGTTTCTAATATTTACTGATTGTGACAAATTGGATTTTCTGTACCAGTGTATGTATGTGTGTAGGGAGTATCAAGCATCACAGACAAAAGGAAGGGGGGACACTGTCTTAAAAGTTTGAGAACCACTGTCTTCAGTTCAGTTATTTTGTTTTTCATAAAAGATTAGGAGGATAACTTAAATTATTATCTGCTTTTTTAAAAGTTTTGTTATTAAATTTGGAGGTTTGAATAAACTTTATTGGATAGTATAGGATCTTAAATCTCTAGTTGACTTTTTTTTTTATTTGAAGGATTATAATGTTACTTAAAAACTTAAGCTGATTTTTTTTATTTCTTGCAAAGCTAAGAGGGTTCAAGCTGAAACAATAGTTAAGTCCCTATTTAATTATCTGTTTGTTTGTAGGACCGAGAGGGATGGTTTGAGTCTCCCATTGGTGCTATAACGACAGCTGAACCTCGACCTAATTCTTACTTTCCAGATGGAGATTATGTGCTACCCATTCCTGTACCTTATGGGAAGTTAGCACCTTTCAAGCCAAGTGCTTCTGGTGCAAATATGAGGCACTTTCAAAAACCAGATCACAAACCTATTATTATGTAAATTTCTATTTTACTTAGCATTAACATTTTTGAGAGAGAATTTAAGAATAAAATGTTTTTATAAAAATTCAATTACATGACAGGATTTCAACAGTAAAGCTGGTTTTACAAAATTCTGTACAACCTATTGTATGTAGCTTGAACATTAAAAGTCTGTTATTTGACTAAACTACCAAACGTTTTTTTGATTGTTAGATACTTTTTTGAAGCCTTTTTTTGTTGTTGTTTAAGCAACAATTTAAGCAGTTACAGTAATGCATATTTTAGTTTGTGCCATAGTTAAACTTTCTAAACTTAAATATGTCAATAAAACCAGCCCTTTTCATTCATATACTTATCAAGCTTTTTCTTAAACTCACTTAAATTTGCTGCCTCTACAACATCTGAAGGCAACAGCACACTGCTTGGATGGCTTAAAACCAATCAACCATTACACCAAGGTCTCTTTCTTTTATGACACTGTTAAGGTTATACCCATCCAAATTATACTTATAATTCAAATTATGATAACCCACATGCTTTATCTTGCATTTATTGTAATTAAAACCTATCTGCCATTTATTTGGCAAACTGACTAAATTCTATTGTAGGGCAGCAGCATTCTCTTCACAGCTAGCAACACCCAAGACCTTAATATCATCTGCAAATTTAAGTATCTTATTGACCATTATTTCATCTATGTCACTGCACTGATGTAAATCAAAAAGAGCAAAGGTCCTAAGACTGAGCCCTGAGGTACCCCACTTTTGACATTAATCCAGTTTGACTGAACTCTGCTTTCTTCTATCCAATTTGCTAACTTATCCCCACATCTATAGAGCTAATTTTTTTACAAGCCTTTTATGTGGTACCTTGTTAAATGCTTTTTGAAAATCCAGATACACCAAATATACACCCTTACCATCATCTACATAAGCAGTAACCTTTTCAAAGAATGTTAAAAGATTTGTAAGGCAAGATTTTCCGTTTGTGAAACTATGTTGACTATCCAATAAAATTCTAAACTTTGTTAAATGACAACTTCTCTGTTCAATATATTATTAGCTTTCTACTAGTATGTTATGTGAGCTCCCAGAAATATATATATTTATATACATTTTCTTATCCAGTTACAATTTTTAAAGTTTAGATGTTTATTAATCCATCACTTCATATATTTATAAATGCAATTTACTAGATTCATATTACTGTTGTAACATGTATTTATCAGCACAGGGTGCTAAAGCATTGTTATCACATTCTGCATTTTATGTAGTGAAAAGAAAATGCTTAAAATTCTTGTAGATAACATTTAAACGTAAGGCATTTAGAATAATTTGCAAAATGTTAATCACAATTTGTTTAAAGATCACTCAAACTAATTGTTTCCAGTATACATATATATTGATATGTATTAGTTATAAATTCATTAATTGTCACACTGGAGACATTATGGCTTGAGAAGCCTTGTATCATTTATTCACTATGTAACAAATTTAAGAGACTGTGAAATACATTCAATCCTTGATAGTGACCAGTAATTTTCACTCAAATGAAAAACGAACATTTTATTTACACATAGAAACATGGGAAAGCCAAGAACAGAAACTAATAAAACTACTATATTGGCGTACGTAAAACGATAAAAACCCTATAACTCGAGCACTTTCAAAAGGTGGACCTTTCTTCTTCAGGGGTAAACTTCTTTTTTTTCTCCAATTTGCCCCTAAATAATAAAGGTCCATCTTTTGAAAATACTCGGGTTATAGGGTTTTTATATTATATTGTTACGACAGTGGAAGTCACGCGACGCTGGGAGCATGCGAGCTGGAGTTTCTCGAAAGATCATGAATTTTCCTGGCAACTCTAGTTTGTTCGAGGCACCCTCTTTTTTAGTATGTAAGCCTGGCGAGAAAAACCAGTGCAATTGAAGAGATAGATAATTGAGTCAAGCAAACAGTAGGCACCGTAAGTAAAGTGTGTGAATCACTGTGATTTATAGCATGTGTGATAAAGGTTGTTAAGTTTAAAGTGACTGTGGAAATTCTGTGTACTAAAACATTGTATCAAGAAAGAATAAACTAGTTTTACTTAAGAAAGGACTTGTATCATTGAAGTTCCTCGGAAAGAATTTATACCGGAAATTAACAAACGAGCAGATACGTAACAATATTAAGGTTTCTTGAACCTACATGTTTTTATGTTTGGCTATTGATAATAAAGAATTTAATGTTCTGTGGCTGAGTATAATATAGACTGACATTCACAATTTTATCTTCATCTGCATCTTTATTTTTTCTTGTTTGTAATATGAAGAACCAAATGATACCTGAAGGGTTTCCCAAACCATCCAACTGAATTTTGAACTGCAAGAAACTATTAAAGATAATCACAATTTATAATACCTATGAGTAAAATAGTAACAATAATCTCTTAAATTTGGTAAACAAATCAAGCACCTGATGATCAGTTGTAGTAACTAAACTATAAATAGTTTGTCATTCAGTCTGTGGCATATTACATATATATATATATATGATGATTTCATATATCTCATTTGTCACTTTGAAGTGAATAACAATGATTAAATGGTGTATGATCTGCAAACCTATTGGTACATTCAATCCCATCAAGCAAGCAGAGGTTAAATTGGGGTAGAATAGTATGAAGTGGAGGATCCAAGCCATTAATGTTTCAGGTCTTCTGATTTGAATATGAAAGTGGATCACAAAGGGGAATTACACCTCTTTCAAAATCCTAATCTAACAACTACAAGCAAGGATGAGATGAGACATTACATCAAGTGTCTTGAGACACTAAAGATTCCCTAGAAATGTTCCATCTGTTTTAGAGGAGTGGTCAAGGATATTTCAGGACCTTAACTCTCAACATTGATATTAAACATGCAAGATCAATGCCAGACTACTTTAGCTGTTTGTGTTGACAATAATGGAAAGCCACCCTCCTACCAAATACTCATTTCAGATCACATAATAGGGCATCCAATTTTTGATTTGCATAACTATGAATTGTATAGGGTGCTTGATGTTATTTTATAACTGATTTGTAATATCTTAGCTAAGATACAATCTCCAATTATTCTTTGTTGTTGTTTTTAACATATTAAAGATATGGGCCAAGCCATTTTCATATCCTCTAGGCCTCTGGTACAAAAAGACTAACCAAATTACTTCCTCAAACACCAACTTTCAAATTGAAATCTTGTAAAGATTTCCACATATAGCAAAAAGACCAAACATAATTAATTACTAGGACATCATTTTCAAATAAAATATAGTATCTATATTTGTTTAGGTTGTAAAAAATGTTCAAACTATGTGATTTTTGTATAACAAAGACTTTGTTTAAGAAAGATTCTTTGTATTTCTTATTAACAGTTGAGAAACTCTTATTCTTTATCTAAGTGTGATATATCCATTTCACTAAGTAGGTCAGTACAATACACTATGAACAACAATTTATCTTTTCGTAACAAGTAGATTTCAAGTACTCTGACAACAGTAACTGCCAATTAAGCTCATAGACTTACAAATGCAAAAACATAATAATCCACAAAGTGTTTTGTATTGAATTATTACAAAGTCAAATAAACTATTACTACATGTTGTAAAAATTACACCTCATAAGATAACAATTGAAAATAAGGACAACAATGGAACATTTGGTCCTTCAATGCTGTCCCCCTGTACATTCACCTTTTACTTCTCCATAAATGAATTTCCCTTTTAAAATTGTAAACTATTGGCATCCAATACTGCCAAAAGTAACTAATTCCATAAACCAGTCACTCTATTAAAAAATAAAACTGCCTTAATTTAGATTTTCCAAGTCCTAAACTTGTGTTCTCTTCTTGTTTTTGGAATATAGCACAAAGAAATATCATTACTGTATTGATCTACCACACAATTTTGTAAACATATGTAGGATCACCTCCTGCCTCTTTTTTTCTTTAGATAAAATAAATTAAGATAACTTAAACTATCCCCATAAGATAATTCTTTCATCCCTGGAACCATACTAGTAGCCCTCCTCTAAACCCTTTCCAATATGTCAATATATTATCTTAAATAAGGATACCAAAACTGTAAATAGCATTCCATGTGATACCTAGATAGTATTTGGATAAAGGGGTAATTACCCTTTCGACTTGTAATCAATATGTAAACTACAGAGCATTACATTGATGCCCATCTATATTAAACCAGATCCAAATTAAGATAATGTATATGCATTAGCTTGCACTTACAACAAATAAAGGTTGTTTGTTGAACTAACTAATCGATCCAAGTCATTCTGTAATACCTCAACATCCTCAATACAGCTAGAAATACCCAACCCCAAATGTTAGTAATTTTGTCCTTATCACTCATTAATGTATATAAAAAAAAAAAAAAAACAGAGGTTAATCACTTACCTCTGGACTCACTAGTTGAAAGAGCTCAGTTTAACTGGACTCAATTAATAACAACTTTTTGTTTTCTCTTCTCCAGTAATTTGTCAATCCAGATTATTACTCTTTTCTCAACCCCTACCATTGTAACTTTCTTAATTAATCTTTGCATGGCACTTTATCAGAAGCTTGCTTCTTCATTCAAATAACATGTAACATCCTTGAAAAAAGTTAAGTTTCCCTTTAATGAAACCCTACCAATTTTCTTGTATGATGATATATTTTACTAGGTGATTTTGCAGAGTTTCTTTTAACAGTCCCTAGAATATGTCAGTTATTATGGTATATAATGCCTTATGCTGATAAAGTGTAATGTACTGATTGTTTTTGTGTTAAACTGTATCACAGTAAAACTGACAGAAAGATTTATAGAAATTTTCTTACTAGCATAAAAATATACTTTGTGTACTGCACGCCATCTACTGCCAACGAGGCCTTCTGCTCATACCAGAGCTCATTAGGACAGCTGGGAATGCAAAATACATGACTATATAAGGCCATTAAAGAAAGGTTTGCATAAAATTTTATTAGTCTTATTTCCATGTAATGTCACACAAACTCTCAACAGATTCTCTAAAAAAATTTCAACAAAAGAAATAAGACTGACTAGTCAATAATTTCCAAGACAACTTTTATCCTCCCTTTAAAAGTTGTAGTAACATAAAAGAAAAAATTTTAGAATCCTCAAGCAACTTCTAAAAGTTTCTATGAGAACCATACAAAGCTCATAGGTTAAGGAAGCCCTGCATTTGGCAATTGAATTAGATCGTATTAAGGTCCCAGATAAAAAAACTAAAGACACCCTCTCTATATTATAGGACTGAACAATATGAAGACATCGACTCATGCTGATGATAGCCTAGAAGAACTAAAAATATTGGTTAGATAACTAGTTTCATGGAATGTAGAGAATAAACCACACAAAAAACAAGTGCTTCAAGTGTAACTTGAAGGGGCATACTGCCAAGAATTGCAGACAAAAGGTTGTAGGGAATAAGAACTCCTCCCAAAGGATATTAGAAAGGAGTGACTGGCATAGATCAATTACAGGTGATACTGTGAGTAATAAACAGCTCTTAACAGATGCGTAGTGCAGAATGTGTTGAACACCCACGAATTTTCCCATCATACCTCCTGTGGCCATGCTATGGGCTCCTATTTAACGTGGGATACCGTACTGTGTGGTCTGTGGGGGGAAGTTGCTACGCCCCTGGTTATTAAGACACTAATAAAACAATACCCTAAGGATGAGTCTTGGAGTCCAATCAAATCAAATGAACAACCAAGAGCTAACTAGACATCAGGAAAAGATAATTATCTGGGTTGTTTGTTTGTAGTTAAGGGCAAAGCTACACAATGGGCTATCTGTGCTCTGCCCACCACAGGTATCGAAACCCGGTTTCTAGCATTGGCAGTCTGCAAACATACCGCTGTGCCACTAGGGGGCATATTTATCTGGACTTACGGGGTAAAGTTCAGCTCAGAATATAATAAATAAAATCAGTATTTCCCTACTGTAAAAGTTGCTGTTATTGTATGTTTAACACTGAATAACTTTTCAGCATCACTCTTAATACTTCACTGAATTTCCACACATTAGTTCATCATATTGTTACGTCTGTGTTCGTTTGTTAATTTTCCGTACAAATTCTTTCCGAGAAATTTCAGCGATACAAGTCATTTCTTAAGTAAAACTAGTT